CCAGTTGAAAACAAACCAAACTAAAATTTTTACTGAGATGAAATGACCGAAGAAGTTGAAACGGTAGATTTGACACCACAAACAAAAAGTTCAGAACCATTGTCAAAACCTGTCAAAGAACTTACAGATGAAGAGAAAAATTCAATAATAGAAAGTGCCAGGTCTGGAAATACAAACCCTAACTACAAAGTCACTTTTCATAAAAATGGAACGGCAAGTATCTCAAAAAAGAAACAGACTCTCACAAATAAAATATTGAAGTCTGAAGGAGCTTTCGAGACAACAGATGGAAAAGTTTACTTCACTGACCAACAGTTCATTATAGAACATCTCATTGACTTAGAGTCGAAATATTCTAAACTTTACAACAAACACAAAAAGTTGAAAGGAAAACAAAACAAATGGCATATGATATTTATGAAGATGTTGACGACACAACTGTTCCTGCAAGTGAAGTAAAGTCAGAGGAACCGAAAAGTGACGAAAAACCGATAGAAGAAGAGAAACCAAAAACTGAAGATAAACCAAAACCAAAGTTTAGTTTCCAAACTAAACCAAGTCAACCTTCATTAGCTGGTATGGGTTGGCGTCAAAGACTTATGGCAGCAGGCGGTTATGTAAAGTAAAGAGAAAAAAAATATTTTTTTTTTTTATAAAAATGCCCCCATATAGAATGGATAGAAAATCTGCTAGAATAAAAGCAGAGTTGCAAAGTTATGGTTGGAGAGTTTCGAAGAAGTTTAAATATAGGAAGGGAAGACCCATAAAAGTCTATGACAAATTGTCTGGTCTTCGCTACGAAATGGATTTGGAAACAGCACGTGCAAATTATCCAAACAGACTAGAGAGGTTAGAAGAAGAACGTCTTATGGACATGCCTTTCGATGTTAGTGAACCTCAAGTTGAAGGACACGACGGCTTTGCCAGATTCTATTGGAAACATGACGAACAATTGCATCCTTTGAGAAGGAAAAAAGGAAAAGTGAGACACATGCTCCCATGGAAAGAACAAGATATGCATATGAAAGTACCGTGAAGTTAGAAGTCAAATTACATCTGGTCGAACCTTTACAGTAAACTTTGACGAAGGAAAGAACAAAGAAGGCTTCATGGGAGTACTTGCTGCAATCAAGACGGAAATAAGAAAGGACACAATCTCAGATTGACCATAACAGATTTGGATGGTCACATTTACTATGCACATGGCAATGAACAAACAGCCGCAAAACTTCTTGACGCTTTCAAGACTACAAAGAGAGAACAAATGGTTGACTCCGACTCAGACATTTTGAATGCAATTGAAGGAATTGCAAGTGTCAAGTTCGAATGGTACCAACCTAACCCTCAAGCAGTCAGACAACATGCTGGATACTTCCCGTTCAGAAATAAGTCTGACATTGACTTGACAAGGTATGGAATTTACAATTCAATTGAAACAATTGTCAATGAACCTTGTATTCTTACATGTCTCAGGAACTCTGGTCTTGTTACAGATGAGAAAATGAAGTATCTTGAGTCATGTGTGAAGACAAGGTACATTCTCAGAGGTCAATTGGCAAAAATTGCACCGTTGGCAAATGTCAATATCCGAGTCAACATACCTACAGCTAAAGGTTCTTCACATGACGACTATGTTGTTGACTTCAAATTGCCATGGTTGAAGATTGTAATTGTCCACAACCACTTCATGTTGAACGAAAGTCTTACAAACCCATTGTTCGGAAAAGGCAAGTGCAACATTGTCAGAGCTGTAAACATTCTTTTCGAGAAAGGTTTGTTGGAACCAATTCCAGATGACAAGCTGACAGAAACTTTTGTACCAAAAGACGAAACAAACTTTTCATTGTTAGCAAGACCAAAAGTTGTTCCAGACAAAGTTCTAGTACAAAAGAAGTACACAATTCCACAAGGAGTTGGATTGTTCGGATACCAACCTGAACCAGAAGAACTTCCAATGAGGTTGCAAGAACTTCAAGATGCTATAAACAAACTTCCATTGAGACATCCAATTGACGTCAAATTGTATTGGAGAGCATCTGAGTTAGGTCAGAAGGTTTTATATGAAACAGGTTGCTTCGACGATGTTTATGAGATAACAGGAGAAGTTTCTCAGAAGATAAGAGACTCACTTGAATTTCCACAAACTGGACCAATTGGTTGCGACAAGTTCGACTCAGATGAAAAGATATACTATGTCGACCTTAACGCTGCATACATGAGGTTTGTCCAATATATTCCGACTGGAATTCCAAACGAAGATGGTGAGTTCCCGGGAAGGAACTATACAGTTGGAAAAGTCATACAACAACTGTATGATATTAGGAAAGCTTCAAACCCCAAACTTGCAATGACACTCAAATTGCTTATGAATTCGACATGGGGATATTCCATTAAGAAACCTCAAGAGATGAAGAGTAAACATTATGAGAAGGTCGACAACTTTGTTGAAAGGTTTTCTCCTTTTGTTTTGAAGTACGAATTCACTCAAGGTCAAAGTGGCTTAGTAACCACATTAAAACCTATTGTCGAACATTGGTCTTACCCTCAGTTCGCAAAGGCAGTCCTTGACAACTACAATGAGTTCTTCTCGGAAGTCAAATCGAAAGTCAAGGTTTACTATGAGAACATTGACGCACTCATGACGAACGAAGAAGGCTATAACAAACTCATTGAAATGGGCATGGTCGGTGAGAAGATGGGTCAATTCAAATTGGACAAAATTTTCACCGAAGTTCATGTCCTCTCCAAGCGTAAGTACTGGGGCATACTTGAAGACGGCACAGAAATAAAACATTGCATGAAATAAAAAATTTTTATTCGAATTTGAATTTAAATGTGGGAATTCTTGGGAACGTGAAAGGCTTATTTACTTGAGGAACAGGTAAAGGTGGTGGCAACCAGTCCATTTTATATTCCTTCCTAGCTAATTTCCGTTTAATTTCATGGTCGCCCTCGGAGTCTTTGAATCGGACAGGTCGAGTTACACCATTCTTGGTCTCAAACTCATATATAACCTGTTTGTCTGTATTTTCGTCGACTATGGCACGAGACACGAACATTGACCAAACGGACAAAAAGTGTCATTTCGGATGGTCAAGCAGCCAATCGCATTCGAGCACCTCGAAGAAGCCTTACGTTCCAAGGGAGAGGGTGTCTGGTGCAAGGGAGAGGTCATGAGACTCTACGAGCAGTACATCCTCAATGCTTGGGAGGACAAATCGTCCTTGGATTGGCAATTCTACCAACTCCTCTGGGACGACCTCCTATACAACTGGGATGACGAAAGAGTCCAATTCAGAGGTCGGGAACTAATTTTGCAAATTACCCTTAATTTAACATACTTATCCAAATAAACACCTAAATTTACTTGGGGTTTCCCCCTAAAATAAAATTTTTTTACTCTTAGAACCACTCGAGGTTCTCCTTACGGTTGTTGAGCTGGTCACCGTCAATGTGTCTGACCCTCGTCTTCTTGTTTGGATTTGGAACCCATTGCATACCGACAAGCTTTCCCATGGAAATTGAACCGTAATTCCGAAGGGTAAGGTTCAAGTGTCCCAAGTTGTTGAGGACTGGGGTAAGAACCTTGCCGGTCTCCTTGTTGCGGATTTTGTATGGGTAGGGTTGGGAAATTTCGTAAGCGTCATCGGCAACAAGGGTTGCCCAAACTTCCTCTTCTTTGTGTTTCTCTTCTTCCTCTTCTTCCTCTTCTTCCTCGAAAATTCCTTCTTGAATTTGGTACTCACGAATTACGGTGTTGGAGGTTCTGTCCTTTCCGAGTGCCGCCCAGATGGTGTCAATCTCTTCGAAGAAACGGTAGATGAGTTGGGCAAGGTTTTGGTTCTCTATGTTGTATTGGCGCAAGGTTTCCGCGAAATCGTTCAGGACTTTCTTATTGGAAGCTTGGTTCGTGAGGACTTCGACTTTGAGATTGGTTATCTCTTCCATAAGACTACTTTGGAGAGTCTTAATGGTGTTTGACAGATGAGCGTTCAATTGGGCAATTTGAATTTGAACTGGGCGCTTGTCTGACAACCTTGAAAGGACATCTGCCATTGAGTTTGGCTTCGGTGCTTGTTCGGACATCGAAAAAATGAAGTGGTTTGAGAATGACGGTTTTACTTCAAAAAGCTTGTTATGACGGTTAAGTCATACAACAAGTTTAAAATAATATCTTGTTCTTCTTCTGAACGTTTGTTGTCTCTTCCGATAAAAGTTTGGAACATGAGAACCAAAAAACGTTTTTTGAGATTGTGGAAGAGTTCAGGCAAACGTTCATATTCCGGATATGTTGGGAGCAGTTCGAAACATCTGAGCTGACTTTCGGACAAAATTGGGACAATGTCAACAAATTCATCTTTGGTCGGACTGCTTGAAGGTAAGTCCCTTACATGTAAGTAGCTCTGGTAAAGTCTTCTCATTTCTGCTAACTTTTGGAGTATAGCTTCGTAGTTTAGAAGTTTTAATTTTAATTGTCTTATTCCACTCTTGACATCTAAACGGTAACTATCCATGAGGTCAAGAGTAGCTTTGGTAGCTTTAAGTGGAGCTATCTGTTCCTTGACTCCTGCAATTTTGGTTGCAATTGTGATTTGAGCTCCTTCAAGTTCGCCGTCTATGTCGTTCTCAACGTCTTCAACCATAGCTTGAAACTCTTCATCGGTCCATTGAGATTGGTGTGGGACGAATTTAACTTGCTTCATTCAAAAAATGTTTTTACTCAAAGCGTGCCATGTATATGGCTATAAGAAACTTACCAGAAGGCTTCTTCTTCACATGCGTAAAAACATAAAAAAAGTGAAGTTAAAATGAGATGTTTACTGAACTGGCTGAAGAACTGGCTGAATGTCGCCTTCACAGGTTATGTAGAACGGCTGACCCGAGAAGTGAAGGAGAGACTGAATTGCCAATTTCATATGGGGTAGGGGTTCTCCTTGTTTGGTATTTTTATCCAAGGACGTTTGTTTAGGAACTTAACAAGAGTTCTCTTTTGGCGTCCTTTATGCCATCGTAGGCTGTCCCGTCTGGTATTTGAATTGGAATTCCAGTCGAAGTCTCGAGCTGAAGTGTAGACCTTCCAGAAATACTGGTGAACTTGACCTTGGGCTTCATTACCTTGCGCAAGTAGTCTTTTACGCAGTCGTTAATTTCAATTAGGTAAATTGCCTCGTCAAATCCTTCTGGCATTCCGAGTCCTTCCATCCGACAGGAAAATATTTTCCCGACAACTGGAAAAATTTTTCCGGACAAAGGGAAAAATTTTTCCTTCCGACAGGAAAAAATTTTCCAGTTGTCCGTCCGTAAACCATTCAAATTTTCGAAAATTGAGAACTTTTTGGTCGAACTTCAGGAAAAGTTCTTCCTTCCGACAGGAAAAATTTTTCCTTCCGACAGGAAAAGTTCTTCCTTCTGGCATTCCGAGTCCTTCCATCCGACAGGAAAAAATTTTCCTTCCGACAGGACACAAACGGATGACTGACGTTCCTCTTCCTGAATGCCTTCCAAAGCCAGAAGTACCGAAAGCTACAGAACCTAAAGCACCAGCCCCTGCACCTCAGTTCCAGCAAGTACCTCCACCAAATTACTACCAATTTCCACCTCAATGTTACTACCCACCACAAGGCTTCCCGAACTACCCTCCTCCTCAACCTATGCCTTACTTCCCCAACCCTTGGATGTTCCAGCAAGCTCCACCCCAGCAATTCCAATCTCAGCAAGCTCCACCCCAGCAAGCTCCATCCCAGCAAGCTCCATCCCAGCAAGCTCCACCCCAGCAATTCCAATCTCAATCCCAATCGAAGAGAGACCAAGACTTCGAAGAAGGTCTGAACCGCTTACGCAAAGAGTATGCTACAGCTCCAATGGAAGAGGACAGGCTTTCAGTCTCTTCCCTCAAATCGACCGATTCGACTCGTACCACAGATTCGGTTCGTGACCGTGAAGACTACCTCAAGCAGTCTGAGAGACTCTTCATCCTACAATCATTTACAGTTGGAGCTCTCAAGAACATGCGCAATTACGAAGGTCAAACACCAGCTGGAGACCGCAAAACAGACGTACTCGCAAGAGCCGTCCAGCTCGTCAAGACAAAGACTGAGATAGTCGACTTCATTCTTGCAGCTTGCCCATACAAGTAAAAAAATAAACAATTACGAGTTAAACCTTTTATTCTTTCTTTTCTGAGTTGTTTAGAGCTGGTTTCTCTTGTAGGAGCCTTTCGTACTCTTCCATGGTCATGTAATTGCGAATTTGGTACGCAATTCCAGGTTCGTTGTTTTTGAACCTTACGTATGTAACGCTTCCATCCTCCTCAGGGAAGTAAGCTGCTAACATCTGACCAAGTTTTCTCGGTGACTCGGAGCTCATTAAAAATGTCACTTTTTAAACGTTAAGTTTTTAGTCTTATTTTACCCTTTGTTTACCCTTTGTTTACCCTTTGTTTGTCAAGGTAGTATTGGAGTGCAATTTCTCCAAATTCTCTGTGTCGGAGTTCTTCAGCATTTTCCAAGGTGTACCTGGAGAACTCAAAGAAGTTGTCAAGAAGATACTGCCATGCTGCTCTTCTGAGTTCGTCGGTATTTTGGAAGTGTTGCACCTTCGAGTCTTCGGACATGAAAAAATGACACTTTTTCATTATATAACTGTTATTTTTTTACGAAGAGAACTTTGACACTTCGTAAAAAAAATCCCTGAAATCGTGAAAAAATGACCAAATTTCATTATATAACTGTTATTTTTTGACGAAGTGAACTTTGACACTTCGTAAAAAAAATCCCTGAAATCGTGAAAAAATGACCAAATTTCATTATATAACTGTTATTTTTTGACGAAGTGAACTTTGACACTTCGTAAAAAAAATCCCTAAAATCATATCTTTTATACAAAAAAATGAAGAATAACTTTCACTTTTTCTATTAAACCGTTTTGGCATTTCTCATGAGTGAGTATAGTTCTGCCGAACCATTGGAAGAGAAGAAGTACCCTTGCTGGCAAAAGACAAAAATAGTTGCCTTAGTTGTCATTGCAATTGTACTCGTAATTGAATTCATTGTACTTCTCTTCACGTACATAAAACTCAGCAATGGTATTTGCTTTAAGAAGCTACCATCTTACTAAGACTAAACACTTACATTTTTCAAGCTTGACTTTTTACAATTTGAACTTTGTTTGCGTAGATGTGAATTCTGAAAGAAGTATGAGGGTCTTGTATGACTTTGTACTTCTCCCATAGTTCATGTCTGTCAAACTTACCTGCCATGGACTCTTTCATAAGTTCCATGAAATCGTCTTCGGACAATCCGGGGAAAAGTACAATATCAGTAAGTATTCTCTTTACATCCTTACTTAAACTCTTTGCTGTCTGTACACAAATGACAACAGAGATGTTAAAGTGTCTGAGCTTCTTGAGAATTCGACACATATCTTGTTCTCTGTTCTTTAACAAAGGATGAGAAGCAAAGTCATCTAAGATAAGAAGACACCTATGAGGGTAAGTCTTCCAATCGTAAGATTGCAATTTCTTCGAAATGTATTCTATCTCTTTCTGTTTGTTTCTGAAGTGTTTCTTCTCTAATATTCTCTGCATTTCCTCATTTGGGTCTTTGAACTTAGAATTTATATACTCATTTATAGCATTATACTTCAAAACTCTTCTTTGGTACTTCTTTATCCAATCTAACAACTCAGAGTCTTTTATACATACTAACTTAGACTTCTTTATAATATCTTTGAACGAATTGACGGTTTGGTCAAATTGACCCGAAGTACTACAAATAACAACTAACTCATAGAATGGGTTCTTCTCATCTAGTTCTTGTTGTTGTGCAGCCATTTTAAGATAAGTGAAAGTCTTACCCGACCCAGGCGGTGCAATTAGACCTGTTATACCATTCTGAGCAAATAAGAACTTGTCATGTATGGGTTTTATCTGAGCATTTTCCAACTTCCTCTTGTTCTTGTTTAAAACATTCTCAAATTTTTTGTCAATGTCAGCAAACTTTTTTTCTAACATATTTTTAGAAAAATTAAAATTTTTATCTTTTAGAAAATGTCTAGCGATTTCGCCATCTATATTCGAGACAAGCTTTTCGACAGCAAAACATCTGTCGACCATAAAATCTTACATAGTGTAAACAAGAAAGGTGAATTTGTTCTAAATTCTGTTTCTGGGAATATGACAAGAACCATAAAACATTAAGCAGAGAAGTCTTAAAATTTGTCAATGACAGACTTGTTGACAGAGATGACGCCTCTTGGAGAGATTGAAGTCCAACAAAATTCTTAGAATGCAAAGAAGACACATGCGCTGTTCTTGAAGATGAAATAGAAACAGAATAGAAGAGCTATTAAAGGACAAAGAACTTTTACAAAATATGGTTCTGAGAATTTGACATAACTCCACCAGAAAAAAGAAGAAGAGAAAAGAAAGAAAAGAAAGTAGAAGAAGAGAAGAAAGAACCAGAGCCAGAGAAAAAAGAAATTTGACATGTAAAAATAAAATTTTATTTTTAGAACATTTCTGGGTCAATGTCAATGTTCTCTTCCTCTTTAGGAGCAAACACTGGCTTAGACTCTAAAATCTTTTTACCCAATTTACCTTGAACTTCTACAACTTTCTTGACTCATAATATTCATAGTCGTCTGCTTTCTTTGGTTCATAAGGTATAACAAGTTTGTATGCTTTGCCTTCTTTAAGGTTTGAGAACCTTCTGTCAAAACTTTCTTTGACTGCTAACAAACCTTCTATGTCTAAGTCTTCAAATTTCGCACCATTTTTAGTCACAATAGCAAACTTAACTGGTTCGATGTTCCAAACTTTGCTGAATGAAGACTTTTCAAAATGGTAGAAGTAAACATTCAAATATGTGAATGGGTCTAGTTCTTCTTTAAGTCCTGACATGTACTTGTTTACTGAGATGAATTTCGTCATCTTTTCTATCGGATAAAAAAATATTTTTTTTAAAATTTACTCAGAAAAATTTTTCTTTGTATATACACCATTCTGAACATCTAAAAGACTTTTGACATTTGCCAAGAATGTTCGTTTAGACGCTGCCATATAACCATATTCTTGACAATATTGTTTATACGAATCGTACAATGACCTTTCATCTAAACACTCAAAGTCAGTTTCATCTATGAACAGTTCATATACACTCTTGTTTGCTTCTAACAATGTTTGTCTCTCTTCGGTATGTGGAATTTGTCTTGGATTGAACTTTGAAATATCTAATGTCATGAAATATGAGAACAAGTGGTTGTAAAAGTCAGATGTCAAAGTTTCTGCTAAGTCGTCAAAATATTCTGTATCTTGCATATGAGAATCTGACGTTCTGACAACTACATATCTTCTGTCAGAACTTTCTAACTTCATCGGAACAGCATTGTTTGAAACCATAATGAAGTTTGCAACATTTTCACAAACTCTTTGGTCTTTATATTTCTTTCAACAACTCCAACTTTGTCTGTTATAAGACTCTTCAAAGCATCTGAGTTCAAAACTTTTTTGTATCTATACTTTGAAGTTCATTACAACTATAAGTTTCATATTCTCTATTGAGAGTTAAATTTACCGCAGATGTTTTCTAAGTTTGTCATATTAGGGTTCGAATAACCTTCTAACAGTTTGCACAAAATATCTGTAAAGAAAGTGTTCTTACCAGTTCCTTGTTTTCCAATTATAATGAGAGCAGTTTCATTTTTAGCACTTGGATGTTGTAAGATGTTTGCAAACCAACATAAGATATACTCATAGACTCTTTCGTTTCCATTGCATATAATTTCTTTGACATGGTCTAACCAAGCTTCTATAACATTTTCTTTCCATTCTACTTGTTCGTATTTATATCCAGTGAAGATAGAATAGAAGTTTGGAGAAGGTGTATAGAACTTTATACCTCGAACTGAAAAATCTTCTAACTTTGACAATAAGATATCCCAAGCATCTAACATCTTCATGCCAACTTGTACGACTTTTATTTTCTTAAGTTTCTGTCTACATTCTTGTTCTGAAACTATTGTTGCTCTTGGTTTGTTAAAGACAACATCCCATTCTTTCATGACATAACATTCTGGGGCAGAGTCAACATAAAT